TGGAAATTGGCATTTTTTTCTCACATAGAATCTTCTGGGAAATGCGATTGCAATGACCTTTAATATCATTGCCAGAAGCAATCGACAAACAGCAGTTCGTCTGCATCTCATTGCACAGATGATAGAAATAGACCAACGTGGAATTGTTTTTTTTTCCCCTGAAGCACTCATTCTCGTCAGCGGCTATATCCTTACAACCAACCAACTGTAACGATGCATTCGTGTGTCTATGAGTAGACACACACAAACATATATATATATATATATATATATATATATATATATATATATATATGTGTGTGTGTGTGTGTGTGTGTGTGTGTGTGTGTGTGTGTGTGTGTTTCTAATATAAATAATATCTGTAAAAAAGCAATATTTATAAAGACAAAATGTAAACTCTAGGAAGAGGCTAACAGCTTAAGGGGCACAGTTTATGTGAAAGATAACGGTTAACCGTGGAATTGAACAGGTTAAGATGATAGTATTCGGGGAAGCATCCTCTTGGGAGTCGGTCCCATAAAGCTTCTCGGGTGGAACTTACGGAGGCGGTGATGATGGCTCGCTACAATGTTTGTGACATGGAGGGTCTTAGCTGTGAGGGTTTGGACTGGTGGATCTAATAAATGGAGCCCATCTGGACACTTTTCGTGGTAATAACGATAGAGCAGCTACGAGCATATGATGTTTCGTTTGTGAGAAAGGGGTTGTAGGATGGGAAACAATTTGTCACCCACAAGGACGCGGAGATGCTTTTGAACTCTATCGGGAGTGGAAAGCGAGGACTGGGTTGCTCCTGCTCATGTATATCAGCAGTAATCCGTTTTCGGCCTGATCTGGCTCTTGTAAATCGGTGGGGGGGGGGCAGGTACTTGCTGGAGAGATACAGGGATCCGACCATTTGTCCAGCATATTTAGTGATGGATCGTATGCACGAGTTCCACTTGATTTCCGGGTTTTTACGTTCTAATAGTTGCGCAAGGGAAGAGGTCTCCCTGAGGGAATATCCATTCATCGTGATTGACGAAAGTTGAGTTTTTTTTTGTTTTGTTTTTAAGCATTGTGCCCCAAGCAAGGCGTGAAGCCACTAGGATCAGGGGGTTGCGGAAGATTTGGAGCGAGAGCAGATAAGAATGATAGGAGAAAGGAAGAGGAGAAGGATAGTGGGTAGATCAAGGTAATTGGAGATGTCGATTGACATTACATTTGAATAGTTGGAGATTATAGCTTTCAGAGAAACAGTAATTGGGGAGGGTGGTCCACTGGCGAGAGGTGCGAGGTATGAAGCTATTGGAGTAGAAGAGACGGCTACATGTGAAGGTTTCTACGGTGTAAGGGTGAGAGCGGGATGCCAGTCTCGTAGGGCGCTTGAATTCATGGAATCTGGGAACCAGAGAGAGCAGCTCATCAGAGCAGTTACCATGGAAGTATTTGTAGAAAAGACAGAGAGAGCCGATCGGCGATAGTGGAATGTAAGTAGTTGGGTGTTTTGAGGCATTGAATGTGACCAGCCAGTTTCCACTTTCCACTGAGCTGTTAGAGTTAGGTCAGAGGAGAGATCAGCTGCCAAACTTTAGTCATCTACGATTATGGAGGTGCACCATATACCGTTGAATCAGCAGTGGTTTGGAGTAGACTCCTAGCTAGATCATTTGTGCGAAGTAAGAAGAGGGTTGGACCGAGAAACGGACTTTGGGGGTTGCGGCGCCTGCGTTTATCCCTTTGGCCTCGGAAGACTGGCTGTTAACAACTACCTTCAGGAAGAACTTTATAATTGAGTAAGCTCTTCCAGTAATTCCATAGCTAGAGGAGCTTGTGCAGTAACCCTTTATGCCACATCTTGCTAAAGGCCTTTCAAAATATCTAATGTAATGTAATATGTAATGTGCCTCACTAATTCTGTGAGTAATCGCTGTTAGCATATCAGCAGTGGACTAGGCCGATCTAAACTCGTACTGTTTGTCGCTCAAAAAGTTGTTCCTACTGAGGTGATCAACAACCATCATTGATTTTAGCTTAGAAGACTTTGCTGATAAGACTGAGGTGACTCATATCTCTATACTTTGGTAGGGCGGGGGTGGACAATACATCGTATTCTCGAAAACCGGTATAAACTTGGGATATTCCACAGAATTGGGATGAATTTATCCTTCAAAAAGATGTTAATATTCTTAATCACTAGTATTTTTCTGGACTGTCGGCCATGTTCGTGTTAGGACTCTTGATAAGTCTTGAGACTTCCAGAGCTGTAATGAAAATATTACTGACATTGTGTTCAGTAAGATGGGGGGGGGTCAGGAGGGGGATGACCTTTGTCAAATAACGTTGAATTTGAGACAAACATCGAGGCGAAGAACTTCGCCTTATCTGACCTTCGTCAGATAACCCCAAGGCCAAGGAAAGTCAGTAAGAGATTGGCCTTTGTCAAATAACGTTGAATTTGAGACAAACATCGAAGCGAAGAACTTTGCCTTATCTGACCTTCGTCAGATAAACCCAAGGTCAAGGTGAAGTCAGTAAGGAGATGGCCTTTATCAAATAACGTTGAATTTGAGACAAACATCGAAGCGAAGAACTTCGCCTTATCTGATGAAGGTCAGATAACCCCAAGGTCATTTATAATAGTAGACACTGACGCTCTTCATCTATTCAGAATTTGGTTAGATATCTCCCAGGTATCCAATTTGATTGTTATCAACCTTGGCCTGGATTGTACAATTTACGTTTTCTAGAACTCTCTTACTGTGTTTGTGAGAAGTTCTTCATGCAGCACGTATCCATTTTGGAACTTTAACTTATTTATTTATCAAACTAATCTATTCTATCTTTATTCATTTTTTTTTCTTACCTGTTGCTAAAATGTTGAAAGCTATTTCGTATATTAACTTTTATTTCGTTACTTTAACATCTAGAATGAATTCATAACATCGTTATTTTAATTTTAATTTTTTTTATTTTCGATAGTCTTACTCCATTTTCGTTATTTATTGCTTAATAGAAGCCTTGACTTCTATTTTATCTGTTCTTTTCTTCTTTTTTTTTTTTTTGTCACCAACTATTGGACCACAACGTAAATTTAATTTTAATTGTTAACGTAAATTTAATTTTAATTATGAATCCCATGCGTTAATTTACAACGCTAATCGATAGATTTAAACGAATTTTCAAAGTTTACTCCATTCAACATGTTTTAAATGACATTTATGTATATATTCATTTTCGTTTTAACACGCTGCATAAGTCGTAGTTTATTTATTTTAATCGTAAAAACAATGCAATTTTTCTAATCATTTTATTGTTGATTTTTTTTTAATAGCAGTAATCATTAGAGGGTGAGATGAAACTCGATAGAGGAAGTGGGGGGAAAAGAAAAAAAAAGAAAAAAGGAGAAAAAAACGGAGAACATAATTACCTTCCAAGTATCTGATGACAGAGTCTCCAAAAAAAAAAAAAAAAAAAACAGAAAAAATTCTACCGTAAGCAATTTAAATAGAGCTCACACCGTTGTGATTGGCTGTAGGTCAACTTCCAATCAAATGCGTGATAGCGGGTAATGATTTGCCTAATATGAGTCAGTGTCTGCAGGCTGTTAATTTTGGAGTGCGAATCCGTGACTGATCACTTCTGATGCGGTCGACTTACTGAGGGCAGTATGATGTTTGAAAGACCCGAAACTACCCAATGATCCAAATCAGAACATCACTGACGCCGCCCTCTAGCGCAAAGTTTGCGAGCAGTTCTTAATGCAGCCAGGGTCCTACTACACCGTCCCCTGTGATAGATATTGTAGTAGTGGTTGCGTTACGCTATGTCTGCACCATATTCGGGGATGAACCGGGGCTGACTGTTCAGTTTCTACTGGTATTTTTCTTGGCGTATACAACTCTATTCCAATAAGGACCCATTCTGATACGGCGACAGCAGTCTTGGAAGCAGTATGAAGCATTCCAAAAGCTAAGCAGAGTATTAAGCGATACAACAACTTCGTAAGAAACAAAGAAAAAAATACTGAACTCGAACGTGACAATTGTACTATTACATGGCAGTGAATCCTGAACAATTTCCTCGAAGATGAAGAGACTTGAAGTAACAGAAATGTTGTTCTACAGAAAGATGCTGAGGATACCATGGAGCAAAAATTTAAGCGACAACGAGGTTTTAGAGAAAATGAGAACAAACAGGTGATTTAACCTCAGGAAGAGATAGTTGACATATCTGGAGTACGTAATAGGGAAAAGGGGGCCTGTAAAATTACCTGCTCTCATGACAGACTGAGTGAAAGAGGGACAGGTAAATATTACTTATAACATACCTGATGAGAATGAATAAATGGATGGCGGAAAGGGTTTAAAAATATCGATAAATTCAGAATGTATTTAGAGCTGCTGCAAGCCAGGAAATGGTGGAGAGCCGTAATATATATATATATATATATATATATTTAAACAGATTTCTCGTACTGCCAAATCTAATCAAACATTTGAGGAATAAAAAATATGGGATCATATTAAACATAAGATACAACAGTATTACCGACGATTGTGTTTGAAAATGTGTCGGTCGAAATGCGCCTTACTATATTATTATATATATATATATATATATATATATATATATATATATATATATATATATATATACACACACAAATGAGAGACAGAACAGATAGAGTAAAATTCTAGTCTTCGTAGAATTTACTTTTAAAAATATGCTCAATACAAATTAGAGCAATATATTATTATTAAATTTATTATAAGAGTTTATAATAAAAACATGTTGAAATCTCTACACAAAAGATTTTAAGTTTCAATACTTTGTACTTCTTCAGGCGATGTTAATTAACCAGTTACGTACCATCACCTGAACAGGTATAATCATAGTATTGAAACATGAAAGCTTTTGTGTAGCGATTTCAATAGGTTTATATTATAATATCATATAATAAAAATAATACATATATGTGTGTGTGTGTATGTGTGTGTTTTCAGATCTGTGTATCTCAGCATCTATCTATATCTATCTATCTATCTATCTGTTAGACTGACAGAGCGAAATCAAATGCGGACCTGACGACGTCTGCCCAGTAGTGTCAATCTATTCCCAGAAAGAAAGAGTTCTTCCCGCTTCGAAACGAAATAATGACCTTTCCAAGCTTGCTAGTGTCGCCAAAGACAACGCAAATATGGTTGCAACTGAGATTGCAAAACCATCAGTGGTCATTGTCACGTGACTCTACTTAACAGCACATTTATATTGGTCATTCAGTGGCAAGGACGATCCGGGCCCTCGACTATACAATCAAAATGCGTTCAGTGTATTATCGAGACGTCACCTCGAGCGGTGTAAGCACAGGATGCAAGCTCGATAAAAAAAAAAAAAAATCAGTAATTTAATGCCAATTCTTTTATTACATTTCTATTTATTCAAATGTATCTGTCTCCGTTTTCCTCGGTCTATCAGTTGTCTATCTGTCTTCGTCTCTCCATATCTAAGTCTATTTCTATCTATCTATCTATCTATCTATCTATCTATCTATCTATTTCCGTCCATTCATATCTATCTCTCTATGTATCTAAGTCTATTCATATCTATCCCAGTCTATTCATATCTATCTATCTCAGTCCATTCATATCTGTGCCTGTTCATATCTATCTATCTATCTATCTATCTATCTATCTATCTATCTATCTATCTATCTCAGTCTATTCATATCTATCTATCTATCTATCTATCTAGCAAGCTAGCTCGCTATCTAGGTATCTCAGTCTATTCACATCTATCTATCAGTCCATTTATATCTGTGCATGTTCATATCTATCTGTCTATCGCAGTCTATTCATATCTATCTATCTATCTATCTATCTATCTATCTATCTATCTATCTATCTATCTCAGTCTATTCACATCTATCTCAGTCCATTCATAACTGTGCATGTTCGTATCTATCTATCTATCTATCTATCTATCTATCTATCTATCTCAGTCTATTCATATCTATGTATGTATGTATATATATCTATATAGCTGTATGTATATATGTGTGTGCGTGTGTGTATGTATGTATATCATCAGTCTATGCCGGTTCATATCAGAGTAATTCAGTCCATTCATATCTATCGATGTATCTATCTATCTACACCTATAGATAAAAACCGTTAATTAGTATCGTTAACTTATTGTTAAAAGAGTTCGATTTTACAACCTTTTTATCATTACACTAGATGAAAGTGTAAATTTAGTTAAATTATTAACGTTTTTTAAGCAATATATTTTTAAATCAGATATATCTTCTAATAAATCGAATAGCTTTATCTTGCCCCCTCAGGTATGGATTAAGGTCTGTGTAACTCTTAGTCGGAAGGTGCTGAAGTTTGACTTATTTATTTGCTCACCATTAACGGTGTAATTTTGAGAAATTTATTTTAAAAATCTGCTCGTCATCTTCCAGTTATTTACAAGATGTCTGTTTTTTTCGGTGTAAACAATCTTTATGACGATACATACATATATATATATATATATATATATATATATATATATATATATATATATATATATATATATATATATATATATATATATATATATAGATATATATATATATCATATATATATATATATATATATATATATATATATGTATATATATATGTATATATATCGCTCTTTCAGCAATCAATTGAACTCTCCTGGCTACTGGCGTTGTATTTCGTATAGAAAACGTTAAAATTTCCCTTTCTCTCTGCAGTGTGACAATAGCCTAGGGCATAGAGCTTGGATGCCTAGCCACACTGAAGAACTGATATATATATATATATATATATATATATATATATATATATATATATATATATATATTATAATAATAATAATAATAATAATAATGGACTCTCCCGTCGGTTTCGATATATGAGGATCTGACAGCTTAATTGATTCAGTTATGAAATTTTGTGCGATAATCTTAAGTGGCACTTAAGACCCGCTAGGGATTTACAAAAGAGGCCGCATATGGAGCAAGATTAAGGATTGTGGGATGAGATCACTGTTAGACTGGATGACCTTTTAGATCTGGCACTCGCTTCTTGAAGACGATTCAGGCAAGCCGATTGAAAACTAAACCACATTGATCTCCATTCTACCCGCTCCAGGGCTAAGTGTGCGAGTGTGCTATGAGGTATATTGACAGCTGACAAGTTGGATAAGAATGAAAGGACCAAGGTAAATCGCCAGAAAACCCACACAAGTGATTTGATTAAAGTAGTGAAGGCTTGTGCAGAAGCAGACACACATTTTGGAACTATTGATACACTCAATCGATGCAATTAAATGCCACAGACGAAGCAGACAATATACCTGAGGCTTTTCGTGTAAGAGTTTTCCATCTCCTAGACCAGTCGTGTTCTATAACACTAAAGAGCTTGGTCAGCCTTTGTAGACACTATTTGCCCAAAGCTGGGACCCTAACACATAATATATATATATATATATATATATATATATATATATATATATATATATATATATATAGATAAACGTGCAATCAATTTACAAATTCATGAATTATTCACACAAAAACAAATGCAAAGGTTAATGTTAATTAAACGAAAATATATGTATTGTTGTATCCGAAAATGCTATTGGAAAAAAAAACAATAACTCATTTCCAATAGCATTTTCGGATACAATAATATATATTTTCGTTGTCCTCTTATTACTAAGAGAAAAAACGAAAACAACATCTATTCCATACCTGAAGATGTCTGTAGGAACAGACGAAAGCTTGTAGTAAAAATAAGAACTATTGCGGCAGAAATTTATAGAAACAAGGATCTTTTCATTCATAACGGATTCGGAGGTTTTTGTATATTATTTGAATTGTTTGCGACGATGGATTTCTCAATTAAATCATTAACCTTTGCATTTGTTTTGTGTGAATAATTCATATAATATATATATATATATATATATATATATATATATATATATATATATATATATATATTATGTGTTAGGTCCCCATATATATATATATATATATATATATATATATATATATATATATATATATTGAATAAAAAACAGACCACGTTAAGATTCCATGTAATAAGCTATTTCACCATAACCCCTTTAACAGGGTTCTGGATCATCAGACTTTACTTCCAAAAGCTGAAATGAAAAATGAAAAGAAATTTTACATTGAGCTCTCTGGATATCATCCTCCTCGGGTCTACCCATACGGATTACCTAAGTTTGCATAAACTATATATATATATATATATATATAGGCATATTTTCATTCAAGCATGTTTGATTAAATAATTTAGACGTATATTATTTATTTTAGTTTTAATCCTTTCAAGTCCACGAATTTATTATTTGTTGGCTGTAGAAAATTGAATTTCTTTCAATTAATTTTTATTTTCCAAATACTTTCAATCTCATCTGAGACCATCTTCATGTGGTGCATATCACATATGTCGTATGCGTTACCATCGTAAAGTATATATCTAGCTAGTTTATAGTAAAACGTTGACACTTTGTTGCCAATCTAGTATTTAAGAGACTTAGTTCACACTGTCGTACTACAAAACTTTTATCGACAGAATCCATTTTACCCATTTACAAATCTACCATTCGTCCGTGCATTGAATATTGCTGCCATATCTTCTCTGGTGACCCTGCTTGAGATTATCGCGAAAAACGAAAGAAAGATCTATAATTTTATTTGTCCTGATCTGCCATCTTAATTTCAGTTAATATTTTCATGGCCATTGATCTTAATGATCGCTCCTACTTGATAGCTTGAGTGCATGAATTTAAGCGTACCACTACATTGAAAACTAATTTAAAAACATAATGAAAGATAGTACGATTCCTGGGTACCATTTGTTTGGTATTTTATCCTCAGGGAGATTTTTTTAGTTCTGGTACTTTCAGAAGGAACGGTTTTTATCCTTGGCCTTCGTAGAATGAAAGTTGACAATTTTCAACGTATTTTAAAGGTAATATTTTTTTCATTCGATCCTGAGGTAGTATATATATATATATATAATTATGTGTGTGTGTGTGTGTGTGTGTTTTGGTGCACTCGAGGGCTAATGTTGGACAAAAAAGGGAAGAGAATAATAAATAAATGAAACAAAAAACAAAATAAAGACAAATCATATATATATATATATATATATATATATATATATATATATAAACGTTTACTTTTTAACGTTGAAACAAAATGTACAGTTTTTTAGTGGGTACGTACATTTTCTGACGTAACAATACATATTATATATATATATATATATATATATATATATATATATATGTACATTGGGTACGTACATGTTCTGATGTAACAGTACATAATATATATATATATATATATATATATATATATATATATATATATATATATATATATGAAGAAAAATATATACGGAAAAAAAACAACAAAAATCCTTATATACAATTTATACTGTTTTAATGTTAATATGTCAACGTCGGACGTTTCGGTCTAATAAACCATCTTCAGGACATATTCATAAATTATAACATTATCAATACAACATGACAAAGACGATGTACATAAGAACAAGACTTATCCAAACAAATAACTGAAAGTTTTATAAGATCAGCGCTCCGTTTAAAACATGGTCACGTTGTCGTCACGTAGGCGACGCTGTGAAAACGTATTCCTAAAATTTGAGTATTTTGAATGAAAAATGAAAAGAATTCTATTTTGATCTAAAATTTATATGTACGCTTGTCGAGCATTAATCTCGCTAGAAAAGGGGAAATACTAAAGAAGCCAGGTCTAGTGTTCACCGTGCGTGAGATGGATATTATGCCTTGATTCATAGTTGTAGTGGCCTTCAAGGTGTCATTCTGCGCTGATGAGTGAATTTTCAACGCTTTATTTTTAGCTCTCAGTAATAATTGTCTCGGATACGAAAGATTTGAAAAGGTATCCTCAATATATCTGAATTCATCATGTAAATATTTTGCTGAACACATGCGAAGAGCCCTTAAGTAGAATCCAATAATAATACCCCTCTTAGTGTTAGTATCATGCAATAATGTAAACATACTACTTTAGACATACTACTTATTAAAAATAAAAATAAAAATAAATTACAATTCAAAGTATATCGTAAACCCACATGTAAAAATGACAAGAAGGTTGTTTTTGTGTGTTGAAAAGCCTCGGCAAGGAATTATTTATATCAGATCAACCTATAAGTTCTGTCCGAATTTTGAATAAAGAAAACAAGTGACCAAATGTTACATTTAATTACAGATTCAATCAACAATGTATTTCCCTGATTATCAATGACTTCCTTCCATCTATTAACAAGCTTACTAATTCCATTACTGTAAAATTCTTTTGGCTTTGATTCGAAGAACTCACAGATGTCAGTTTTAACATCTTCCTGTGTTACAAAATCTGTTTCTTCCAAATTATTCTGTAAGCTAAAAAACAAATGGTAGTCTAAAGGAGCAAGATCGGGTGAATAAGGTGGATGATAAATTTTCTCCCAACCAATCGTTTGTGACGTGATTCTTGCTGTGTGGGGTCGCGCATTGTTTTGATGAAACATCACCTCTTTTCGATTCACCTGAGCAGGTCATTTTTTCTTCAGAGCTTAGTTTAAACGCTCTAATTGCTGACAGTATATTTAAGCATAAATTGTTGCATTAGGTGGTAAGAATTCAAAGTGGATTATTCCTTGGCGATCCCACCAGATTGAAAGAAGAACCTTTTGCCCATGAAGTTCCCTTCTCGGCTGTGGCTGGGGTCCTTCCCCTTTACCAAGCCACTGTCTATGACGCTTAACATTTCGATAAAAGATCCATTTTTCTTCGCCAGTCACAAGTCTATCCAAAAAAGGTGAAGTAAGTTGGCGAGAATGGAGACAATTGCAGATGTCAACTCGGGATTTGAGGTTGTTTTCAGACAATTCATGAGGCACCCATTTTCCAAGTTTAGGAACTTTTCCAAGTTGGTGAAGATGACGATGAACAGTTGTATGGTTTGAACTGAGAACCACTGTCAATTCCTCAACTGATCAAGCAGGATTTTCTTCAAGGGCTGCTTGAAGAAGTTTTTCATCAAACTCAACTGGACGTCCGGTTCGATCTTCATCTTCAAGGGTGAAATCTCC